ATTTTATATTCATATTCAGTATGGTATGTGTTAATATAATTTGTGTGAGTTCTTTTACCCTATAGCTTAGTGACTTGTAAGTTTTTTTTTATGTGGTAGTTGTAGTATGTCTTGAGTTCAAATCTCATAAATCAGAGTTTAAAATTATTTTTACATACATTACTTGTGTTAATAGAAGTGCTAAGGTAATTAGTGCTTTGTATTTCAATACCATATTTTAAGTTAGAAGGATGTCGAAGGCCTAATAGAAAGATTGATGGGGAAAAAAACCAGGTTAATGGAACAAATGCCATTTTCTTTTTACTAGGAACTATTGTCATTTACTTGCATGTTTTCTTTGTCCTACGTAATATTATTGGATTTTCATACAACGATAGTATAGAACATGTTAGGTATATCATATAAACATTGATCTGTATATAGTGGCAGATCTAAGATTCAAAAGTCAGGTAGGTGAAACTTACCTTAAAAACTCGATGGTATGAATGAATTTCATTCATAAAAATAAAAAGATACACCTAGTCGGGGAGAGCGTAATGAAATTTACCCTCATATAAAAACTTAACAAAAAAAAACTAAAAAAACAAATTAATGCAATGCAACAAAAAACTAAACTATTTAAATCTAAAACTAAATTAAACTATTAAAAAACTTAAGATGCATACATTTATTTTAGGAAAAACCCAATAGAAGAATACTTATTGGCCTTAGATATGAGAAAATGCTACCAAGAGAGAATGTCCAGACTCAAGAAGAAGCTGCAAAAGATAATGATTTGGGACTGTCGACTATTGCACAACCGAAAGGGAATTGGCTACTTACTTATATTGCTTCCTCCTTTTTCTTTTTTTAAGTTTGACTGAGCCATATAACGCGTGGGTTGCTCTTAAGTTTGGATAGGCATGGGTTCACACCATTACATGAGATGGATAGGAATAGCTTTGCTTACATATAGGTTTTTTTTTGTGTGAAAAAATTTGAGTAGGCAGCTGCCTACCCTGCCCTTGCTGTAAGCCACTGTTTGTATATGTTAAATTAACAAGTTACATGTACTTTTTTTTTTTTTTTTTTTTTTTTTTTTTTTTTTTTTTTTTTTTTTTTTTTTTGACTAAGTACTAAGTTACTATGTCTTTATACTAGTCTACGTAGGAAGAGGAATCAAAATCAGGTTAGACGGGTACTTCTTACTCCAACTTTTTTTTTTAACCTTTTAAAAAAAAGGTTTTTTAAGAGATCATTCTTCTATTTTATTTTGAGAGACTGAGGGCCCAAAGACACCAACAGACAACTTGGGGTCTCACACTCTCATAACCTTCCAACGCGGGAGGCCCAATAGAGGAAAGGCGAAGATACTAAAAACTTTAAGACCAAAATATCTAGGCCCATCAAACTTTTATTCCATTCGAGATTTGTTGTCAATAAAAAAAAAAAAAAAATGACTAAAAAAAAAAAAAAAAAAAAAAAAAAAAAAAAAAAAAAACACCACACACACACACAATGTTGTCGTTTTGCTGTCAATCTATGGAAAAACTGTCATGCAAGACAAATCGTAAGTGTATGATGCATCATGATTTCGACACGTGGCACTACTTTAGTATCACAAGACTCGATCAAAACTCGTAAATAGTAATTAAAAAAAGCTCATGTCAGCTCCCAATGGATTCTTGAGCACAACACCCCTTGTCCCTTGTGGAGTAGGTCAGTTCCAGAAACAGCTTTGGTAAGGAAAGTTCTTCAAAACCAAGAAGATACTTATTTTAATATTGTTTTCGGATGTCAAATCTTAAATATTTTGTTTGGTTGAAGAAGATTTTGGATGTATTTGGTAACATCAGTTACAACAAGAGCACATGGGATGCGATTAGGGAATGTCTTATTGGTTGAGTACGAGAGATTAAACAAACAACATGTCCCATAAAGTAGGTTTAGGATTTGGAATTTGGAATGAGACATTTGGGTTTTGTAATCTTATACAGTATTAAGAAAAGTTAATTAGGTACAAAGACATAATTGCAAGTCAAAAGAGCCAGCTAGCTAGGGTAAAACCAAATTAGTTGTTAATGATTAAACTAGATTAGCTTAGGAGTTGGTAGACCAATCAAATTAACTCATACTCTTCAAGGATATTGAAACGAAAAAAAACAATTAGCGGCAAGAAGTGAAAATAGAGATATCAAAATACTATTTGTATTATATTTATCAACTCTAAGTCTTTAATAGAGGTGGACTCTACTAGTGTATATGGAACTCATATGTATTAAAGAGGTAATCAACAATATGATTAGTAAATATGATAGCTATCTGTATTAGATTGTGCATAATGCATACGTCAATATTCCTCCATAGACTATAATGAAAAAGCGACCATCTTTTCCTGTCCTTCCACCATATATAGAAACAATAATTAATCAAGCTTCGTATAGGCTTTATGCTATACTCTTTTGTCTCTATCATTTGGGGTACACCATGTAATTATCAAACCACCATAAAAGAGAAAGAAAAAAAAAATACATATTCTCTCGCATGCAACATTTGCTTCCCAATACTGTTTAACTTTTGTTGTCTTGTTCCTAGAATTCTACATTTTCAAAAGTAAATTTCCATTTGAGGGATTATATATACATGGAAGAGGCAAAAAGTAGTGGTTGAAAGCATAGTGTGTTCAGATCAATGTCACGGGCGGGATGGTCTTGTTTTGTGTGTGTGGGAAAATGTATGTGGCTGCCATGTTCAATGTGGTTTGGAATCACATGAGGGGCGGATTCTTTTTCAGATTTGTTATTCTTGCCCTGGTATGTGTCACAGGTGGGTTCTCTGTTGGAAATTAACATCCATCATGGTTTGGGTTTATTTTTATTGAATTTTGGTATGAAAATGGGGGTGCATGTACATTGTTAACAAACATTGAAAGTTTGTAAGGAATTTTTAGCTCAAGCGATTTGAAGTATTGATCTGTATACTCTCGAGGTTGTGTTTCCTTTCTCATTTCCTAAAATCTGTTGGAGAAACAAAGGTGAAGGCTTATTAACCAATTATTTATTATAAAAAAAAAAAAAAAAAAAAAAAAAAAAAAAAAAAAAAAAAAGGAAAGGCTTAATTTGATCAGTGCCCTATTTCCTTATCAAACAAAGAATTCTAAATAGGAAACATCTTGATCTAAACGATTAGGAAAGGTTCACATGTCCTCAAAAGATTAGGAAAGGTTCGAAAAAGGAAAGAAAAAAGTCTAGTCCTAAGTGGAGCCTCTACTTAATGTGTTTCGGAGGTGACATTGTTTCTTAATTTCTGATTTTATTCTGGCAAGAGTGCTAAAATCTATCGTTTCTTAACTTCGAAGTTCTGGCAAGAGTCCTAAAATCGTTTCCAAGTACAAACAAATTGCTTTTGGGAGGTACGCTTTCTAACGTTATATTCTATATCATATTAAACTCAGTCATGGTGCGTTCTAGAATGTAAGATGTAGTTGTTTAGCTGTGGGGTTTCTGACATGGTAGAATTTTTGTTAAGGGAGCTGGTATTGATACTTTAAAAACGTCATCCTGCACTCATTTTGTATAAAAAGATAAGATAGAAATTGCATTCCGAGAAGTGTATGATTACTTTTTTAGAACGATAATAACAGTTCCTTTTATTAATCGTGTACAATTCAAATTGAGTTTACATCTATCTTCTAGTGGTTTGAAAACTGAAGCATGAGACTTTGTGAGTTGCCGTTTCTTCATAGTCTACTTAAAAAAAACACAAATGAAAGAAAACAGAAGTATTTCTGAGACTTTTTTGTGTGGAGAAATTAGTATTTCTGAGACTTCAACTTCAAAGAAAGAAAACAGAAGTGTTTCTGAGACTTGAACTTTGACGCCCAACACCCAACGTAATCAAACTTTGACGGCCTAAACCCATCGTCCAAGCAAACTTTGACGGCCTAATCAATACATTTATTACAACAACGAGATTTGAAAGCGCACGTCTTGAACATTAGGTTGAACCATTAGCATGTAATCATAAGCTAATGGAAGATTAGTATCTCCTGATTAGCTGATGATTACAGTGTATTTGAATGTTAATCACTTCCTAAAAGTTAGGCACCACTTGCCACCTTTCTTGACGCCCTCCAAAGGAAAATCACCCGTCAGCTTGCTCTATACCAAATACCAACAGGCAATTATAATAATTTAATTACGGTATGGCCCTTAACGAAATTTGTCAAATTTTGGTATAACAGCACAAACAGTTCCGGAGAAATACACCCAATCATCCGAAATTCAACCATATTAGTTTACTGAAATCTCAAAATTTGTCAAAAAGTTAGCACAAAATTCTAGAAATTTGTCAATGATTTCAGTTCACCTTACCATCCTAAGCCCACATAATATTTCCCCTGGACTAAATTACCCTTTCCTGAATGAGTTGGAAGAGTAGGCGGGTTGCCTTAATTGAAGCAGGTAATTATTGGGATTTCAGCACAAAATTGGGAAAATATGTAACATGCCAAACAGGAAAGCAAAACTCAATTCTCCACCTGCGGTTATATATATGTTTGCACGTTTTTGAAGCCTTAAGGATCCAAAAAGGAATTTAGTAACGACCAGAGAGAGAGAGAGAGAGAGAGAGAGAGAGAGAGAGAGAGAGAGAAACAGAGAGGAGAGAGAGAAAGTACACATTCTAATAAGATAACTTGTTCCTTGTCCCCCTCCATAGTTTTTCTTTTGCTTCCAAAAGACGGCCATCGATATAGGAGCTTAGCTAGCTACAACGCCATATAATTTTCCGTGAATCAAGGTACATCCGATATTTTTGGAATTTTTCTTAGCTGGGTTGCGATTAAATTTTGGTGTAATTACCACACCATGCATGAGTTTGTTGTCATGTATCTTAATTTACCATATGGAGCTGTTGTTCTGCTTGTGTATTCATGTAATAAAATACCATCGCCTTTCTCTCAAAAGTATGCATGTCTTCTGATACCTCCTGTGAAAATTCAATCTGCAGGGTGGTTGAAGATGTCATTTAACCTAAAGCAATGGAGCTGGGTTCTTGGGTCATTCGCAATGCTTGCCTTGCTTTCCTTGTCCCGTGACGATCACGGTTCCGTCAGGACCTCCCCAGTAAGGTTCGTCCTCTATCCTTTCTCTTTCATTTTTCTTTGAATTCATGTACGATCATCATATTATAGATAAATTCCAATGCATAGTTAAGAGGTTAACGAAATTCTCAAAAAAGAACGAAAAGAACAAAAAAATAGGTTACAGAAAGCTCTGTCTGCAAGATAGAGCATGCATTGTCGTTTTAATGGCGATGAGCTCTGAGTTGCTAACGTACGTCTGCAAAAGATGGCCCTTGAAATTTTTTCTAACGTCTCAAGTAATTTTTTTTTCTTTAAATATGTTGATTTCCCAAGATTTCCGTATTATTTTTCTTTTTCTGTGTTTTTTTTTTCTCTGTCGATGACTTCAACAAGTCTTCATCAACGTATATACTTTCTTGCTCTCATTGGACCGCCTATCATGGTAACTGTAAAGACTTTTATGAGTCCTATGAATGAACCCCTCCCTTTTCAGATTAGTTGTCTTCGTCTGTCTCGTGAGTCACACGTTAAATATTTTCATTCACACCTATATAGCCTATACGATGTTTGTAGGCCCACCATGTTTTGCCTTTAACTTTCTTGCAGTCTTTACCAGAAGGTCACGGTTAGTACTAACGACTCACAAGACAACATATATGCTAATCATTAAAAAATTTAAATTAAATTACATATAATAGAACATTTATATTTATACGTAGATCGAATAAACTATAGGATAACGATTTTCACACTTCTAATTCGGATTACCGAGAATTCTTATGTATAACGGAATTAATAATTAATGAGAATTTTTAGTGAACTATATTTGGTGTTTGTTTAATTGCAGAAGAGAACTAAAGAGCATTTCTAGACAAGATAATACGTACAATCAGATGCTATCGAAGACTGATAATCAGGTAATTTTATTGGTTATTCAAAGCTATTTTTTTTCTTTTCTTTTTTTCACATCTGAATTTTCTCAATATCTGCATGAAAACTATCTATATTCTATATTGTCAAAACATCATGTGACTCAGAGGTGATTTCATTTTAGGTGGTGCTTAATAATGGCCTTGTCCAACTCACTTTTTCTTATCCGGGAGGAGACGTCATTGGAATCAAGTACAAGGGAATTGACAACTTGCTTGACATCAAGAACCAGCCAAGCAATAGAGGGCAAGCACACAAATTCCTTCAAACTATTTTTTGAATAAAATTATTTGTACTAGGAGATTCATTATTATACTTAATATAGGGACCCAAATTATAAAAACATCATACATAAAATAGACTTTAAAAACACACCCAAAGCCCGTTTACAACATAACAAAGAGACTTCAAACTTCCTATAAATTACAAAACTACTATCAATTTCTTCAATAGGGCCAGCTGCCATTCTTTTCGTTTTTTAAATGTTTGTTTATAGAAATTAAATGGTGTAGAGTTTATTTTTATCATTAGTGCTAAGAATAGGTATATGACTAAATATCTCACTGTTCACGAAGTCTATAATCTAATTTGCAACTTAATCATGCAGGTACTGGGATCTTGTCTGGAACAAGCCGGGAGAAAAAGGTGGTGTGGACAAGTAAGTCCTCTTGCTTCTTCCCTTTTCATTCATTTCATACTATAAAATGTTAGCACTTTTGACTAAAAATTATGTACATAAATCACGTGCAGGCTACAAGGAACAAGATTTAAAGTTATTTCAGCGACGGCAGACCAAATAGAAATTTCTTTTACTAAAACCTACAGTCCTTCCCTCGGTAACGCCACAGTTCCCTTGAATGTTGACAAAAGGTATGTTCTTAAACCTTTTCAATTAGAAAATAACAAGTACAGACTTTATGTTGGAAATTCTCTCAAACTTTTGCATTAAACTTTGCCACGTACAGGTACATAATGCAGCGCGGTCGCTCTGGGTTCTACGCCTACGCCATTTTCGAGCGCCTCAAAGGGTGGCCGGAGGTGGATATGGATCAAATTAGAATTGTTTACAAGCTTCAACAAGACAAGTAAGTGTAAAGGGCGCATTGTGTTGGATTCTAACAAAAAAGTGACAACTTACACTAATTATTGTGTTCAATTGCAGATTTCGGTACATGGCTATATCCGACGACAGGAAAAGGTTCATGCCAACAGCCGATGACCGTGCAAATGGTCAGCCCCTTGCCTATCCCGAAGCTGTTCTTTTAACCAATCCCAGCAATCCTGAATTTAGAGGAGAGGTACTGGCATATTATCTATCCCAGCAATCCTGACTTTGAGTATAATGGGATTCTCAAAATTATTTTACTTGGGTGTATGTATATTCGCTTTCTTTTGGTCTCGTGACATAATAATTTATGATTTTGCAGGTGGATGACAAATACCAATACTCAAGTGAGGACAAAGATAACAACGTCCATGGTTGGATATGTAAAGACCCAGCTGTGGGCTTCTGGATCATCACACCCAGTGATGAGTTCCGTACCGCTGGGCCCTTCAAGCAGGACCTCACCTCCCATGTGGGCCCAACTGCCCTCTCTGTACGTCCACCCATCTAATCTCTCTCCCCACCCATATGTATCCATATCCATATTTATGAGTGACAAAAGCTAATTATTTACACATTTTGCAGATGTTTGTTAGTACCCATTATGCTGGGAAGGAAGTTGGAATGACATTTGAAGATGGTGAGGCATGGAAGAAGGTTTTTGGGCCCGTCTTTATCCATCTCAATTCAGCTCCAAGCTCAAATGAATATCTCACACTCTGGGAAAATGCTAAAGAGCAGGTATGTATAAATAATATTTCATCTTTAGGCAACATTTATGCTACTAATAATTTAAATTTATAATAACCCAAAAATTTTCTTAGTTGGTTGAAGAAGTGCAAAGATGGCCATACAATTTCACTCAATCAAAAGACTTTCTCAGCTCTGATCAGCGTGGATCCGTTGCCGGTCAATTACTAGTTCGGGATCGGTACGTGTTAATTCCTTCCTTTTGTTTTTATTTTTGGTTCTGGAAGTGTAAATTTATGCATAAAATGATCAAATTGTTCTTGTTTCAGGTACAGGAATAAGAGGCTTATTTGGGCAAGCTCCGCTTATGTGGGATTGGCTGCACCTGGAAATGCAGGATCATGGCAAAAGGAAAGCAAGGTAATTTGTGACACCAAATCTGTTCGGTAACGTTGTTGTTTTTCGGGTATTGTTTGTTTACCCGAAAAACAAAAACATGTATGTCTAAGGTGATAACCTTACATTTTTTTTTTCTCCAGGGTTATCAGTTCTGGACTCAAGCCAACAAACAAGGTTATTTCCTCATTAAAGATGTTCGACCTGGGAACTATAGCTTGTATGCAACTGTTCCTGGCTTTATTGGGGATTACAAATATGAGGCTAATATTATAATTGAACCAGGTAAGTTATCTATTGACATCTTTCATTGCCTTAAATTGGAAAGAAAAGAACGAACAAATATTTGTACTATGAAAACCAATTTTGACATTACTGAGTTTTAATTATATGCAGGAAGTGAAATTAAGTTGGCTGATCTTACTTACGAACCTCCAAGAAATGGCCCCACCCTGTGGGAAATCGGCATCCCGGATCGATCAGCTGCTGAGTTCAACGTACCAGATCCGTCTCCAACCCTTATGAACCAATTGTACACCAATCACACAGAGAAGTTAGTTCTCATATAAGCCCTCCTATTTCTTTTTAATTAGACGGTCATGTTCTTTTGTGAGATAGTTTGACACACTCTTATCAAACTGTCAATTTGGATCGCACATTATAATTAATCTCGGGCAGTCAAACTGTCTAATAAAAGAACATTTCCTTATACTTCAAATAGAAACTAAGCTATTTTGTTTATATGCTTAACACATTGCATTGCTTACAGGTTTAGGCAATACGGCTTGTGGGAACGATACTCAGATTTATACCCTAACCATGATCTCATCTACACCGTTGGTACTGACAATTACCCTGATGAATGGTTCTTCGCTCATGTGACGAGGTACTTGTTTTTCCTTAGACATAACAATGCCTCTGCTTTATTAAATTTGTAGGTCCTGTTTCTCAAAATCTAGCACTACTACAGGAACACAGGAAATCAAACGTATGAACCAACCACATGGCAAATTCGATTTCAACTTAATAAGGGGGCGAATCCTGGAAGTTATACACTGCAATTGGCATTGGCCTCAGCCACTAATGCAGAAGTGCAGGTATTGCTTGAATCCCAGAAAATGCTAATACAAGGTGCAAGTGATATAGTGTTTAGTGTAGTTTTTGGCTAATTTTTTTGTTTGACATTGTGTTCTTAGGTTCGGGTTAACGATCGGAGCGCAAACCCACCTCATTTTACAACAGGGCTAATCGGGAAGGACAATGCCATAGCAAGACATGGAATTCATGGTTTGTACTGGTTGTTCAGTGTTGGTCTACAAAACGATCGGCTACAAGAAGGAAACAACACCATCTATCTTACTCAGTCAAGACACAAGACAACTTTCGACGGCGTCATGTATGACTATCTGCGATTAGAAGGACCTCCTCAAGAGTGATGCATCGGTTATACTTCCAATAGACAGGTAGTGACATGTAGAGGTTTCTTTCACAACAAGTTACACATTCATTTACCCTGATGTAGATATAGTGTAAACAGGCCAACAACTAATCATACGAAAATCAATCCGATTCTTAATTTTTGTTTCTGTTTACAATAAGCTTAGAAGCTAGGCAAAAGTCATTCCATTCCTTGTATATTTAATAAGGAATTCATGTTATTGATACTAATGGTGTATATTTAATAAAAGGGTGATTTATGTCTCCACTACTTCATTTCTTTCAAACAAGACACTGCACAATAGTACCAAACATTCTTCTGTATCCTCCAACTTTTCATTTGAACTTACTCATCAGACAGGGAAAGCAACAAAACCAGAATGAAAGAAACAAAACAGAGAGTACAAAAAATAAGCTTTAAATCAATTCTCTGTTATTCATATTCAACCATCTGTTTGATACAAGTCCTGAAACTGATTATCATAGGTAAACAAATAGATTAAAGAAAGGTTACTTTACTAATCTCAATTTATCAGGTCCAGTTGTTAAAAAGAAATACTAACAGTCCTTACCTCCTAAATTATCCCGAACGGGACTTAATCTTAACAAAATTATGGTTGGATATACATATAACTTGTCATATAATTTTGGTATAATTTTGTTTTGGTCAGAAAAATGCCGGCCATTGAGAACGCACACCCTTTTGGCATTCCCATCTCTGTCTACATGCCTTTGAACCCAAACTTGTGGTTTCAGCCCTGTATCAACTCGTTCTCTACCAGCTTTTCCTGCTTCAATGGTACGATGAACTTGTATTCGAAAGTCACGAAATAAAATTTCGAAGCACGCAAGGTAGCATTTCTCAAACTTTGGCGGATCAATTACAGTTTTCCTGCAGATATACGTACAAGCCAGATCGGCTGCATGGACTCTCACATAAGTATTTTGGTAATTTTACTTTGTCTCCAAGATAATAATGTTGAAGGGAAATGTGGAGAAGATTTTGGGGAAGTGTACAAGGGGAGAAATGAGACGAAGCAGGAGGGAGAGACAGAAAAGAAGGTTCCTCGGCTTGTACTACAATTAGCTTGGGAAAAATGAGTACCATCAATGCCACAAGTTTCCACATTGTTAAAACAAATTATATATGTCCATGTCGTTTGTATAAAGTTTTCCTCACTCTGAAACTATGTTGTATTTTTTAAGGAAATGTTTTTGTCAAATTTATGTTATTATACTCGTTAACTCTGTTCCGACCAAATGTATTCCGACAAAAATCAAGCTAATGAATGATTCATATTCATAATCTTACTTAACTAACTATGGGGTGGACCACCTTGGTACTCATTGAAGGTTGTCTTGTCTTTCATGTGCATCACAAGCTTTTTCTTGGGATTTATCTGATCTTCCCGACTTCCATTTTTTTATTTTTATTTTAATATAATGTTTTTTTGTGTGTGTGTTGATAGGTTCTTATTTCTCATGAGAGGTTATGGTCTTTTTTGTTCTCCCTCACCCAACTATGTGTACCTCTTTATTTTATATTTAATAAATTTCTCACCTATTGTTAATGTTATCTAAATAATAAAAAATTCAGTTTTGCAATATAATATCTTATTTGCCATATAGTCTGTCCAAAGGTTTCAAAAGGCATAATAAATTTTAGGTTTTATGATTGTTGGAGACGTATAAAGGCTCAATATGAGTTGGTATTAAGCTATTGCTCACAACGGATAGCAATTATTATCACAACACGGTTTTTTTTTTAAAATAAAAAAATACAAGCAAAGGGGTTTCTTATGCACACACGCACTATCAAAGTGCCATAGATGTTAAAATATGAGATCACTGATATCCAAGTCTATGCCCTCCACTGAACTAAACCCTGGCTATCACCACAAAAGTTTGTGATTTTGAAATGCGGTACTATACATGGCAAAGTTTTACTATTTATGCACAATTGCTTGATAATTCAAAAGGTTAAATATAACGAGTATTTTAACGCTTGGTCCAAATTCAATTTGTTATCAATAGGGCCCCGTTTGATTCCTTTCCCATGTTTAGTAGTCCTATGAAAGTAACCAAGAAATACCACGTTACTTCCTTTCATATGTTTGGTTTGTGTAGGAATGTAAAACAAAGTTTGTTTAATTTTTCAATTATACCCATATAAAATCAAATAAAAAAGAATGCATTTAATGTTGTATTGTAATTCTAAATTGTAAACAAAACCCAAAGGAGGAGGGGAGGGATGGCTTCACTTTCCTTCCTACTTTCCCATGTGCAAAACAACGATTTCCCATACATGGACTTACCAAACATAGGAAAACAATTGATTTTTCATCCCCAAACCTCATTTCCCATTAACCAAACGGGACCTAGGGGTCATCATTTATAGCCCATGGGTTTCGTTTAGAGAGTTTTTTTCACTTTTGTCGACATTTTTTTTGCAAGGAATGTTACCATTGGTTAATGGTAACATTCCAAATCCTACTCTCAATTCATTTTTTATAATGAAGTCATTGATGGCATATTAACGGAAGATAAGTTAAAGATGGAGAAAATCACTATCTATGTTAAACTAAAGATTGATTATGATTTGTAAAGTTATGAATGATTGTATTATGATTGAAGGATCTAAAACTAGGAAGTTTATATGTTAATGACTAAAAAATCCAATTTCGAGTATAAAAAAAGAGATTAAAAAGGCCCATTACAGCACGACCCGGTTGGACTATTAAAGCCTAGCCGATCGGGCGGGCCTAAGTATTGAAATTTTAGAAAAATGACAGCCCAGCCCGTTAATTTCATTTTGTTAATTGAAGCTCAGCTCGACCCAACCCATTGACAAGCCCTAAAATACAACTACAATCAGCTTTCCATTTTAGTTCAGTAGGCCACACATCAGCGAATGGGTATTACTCAACGCGTGTAGGACGCATGAACCAAATGGTCCATTCCTCTCTCCTCCTTTTCCAGCTCTGGGGCCCGCCAACATAAGATGTAAAATTATATGTAAATTTTCATTATTTTTCCCATCTCATCTCACGATGAAGAGATTATAGAATAGTATAGTAGTGTTGTTACGTGGTATACTTTGTTTATGTGTTATAATATAAGTGGATATTTATTGATACTATTCTCTGAAAGGGAAAAATATCAACCCAGTCGTCGACGCATATTATGACACATGTACAAGTTATACCTCATAACCGTACTATTCTATGATTTCTATGCACTATAGTTGACCTAAATGAATCTACATCAATATATGCCTCTGCATTGGAGAGGTTTTCAGCCAAAAAATAATGTAAATTTGGTTTACATCCTCTTATACACCTTTGCATTGGAGATGCTCTAATAAGCACCTTTGCATTTGGCACCAGTACGAATCTCTCTGTAATGCTATCAATGAGAATTCTAGAGTCTCTCCATTCGCAGCCCAAAGAAAAATATCAATTATGCTGAGGATTTATTAAAAAAATTTGTTGTTAAGTATTTTCCTTTTTGAAACTATGTGAGAGATACTATCATTGTTTATTATGCATATTTAATACCTATATGAAGAAGAGGCCCGCCCGGTAAGTTGGCAAGTTCCACTCACCTTCGGCCTTGTTCCCAAGGAGAGTGTCACCACACCCTTATCAATTGATCAGCCACTCTGTTGGAATGAATGAGATGCTTTCTTTTTCGGCAAGTCTATCAGAATTGTTAACAAGTTTCTGGTCGGGTACAAATTTAGCTAGCTTCTACCCAAAGACGCATATTCGTTGAATGTGTATATGTCACTTTATGGTCAAACAATTTCACGAGCAGCTACACCTCACCCATCACGTCAGCCAACACAGACAGAATACTATATATACCAAGGCTTTTGGTGATGTTTTCACAAACATTCCTGCTCCTTCTTGTGTCCAAGTTTTTGAAGCATTAACACTTCCGCTTATTCTCTGTTTCTTGAGAGACTCTGTTTTAATGGTGAAGACACCCGAACAAGAACACCCCGTCGAGGCCTTTGGCTGGGCTGCTAGAGACACGACGGGGCATCTCTCTCCATTTAACTTCTCAAGAAGGTAACAGTTGAACATTTTATTTTATTTTGTATTATTTATACCCTTTTTGTTTGTTTGTTTTCTCGATATCATTGCGTTAGTTGACATTATATATACGTACATGCAGGGCAACTGGAGATGAGGACGTGAGGTTTAAGGTGTTGTATTGTGGAATATGTCATACCGACCTTTCTAGCATCAAGAATGAATGGGGTATATGTACATACCCTATAGTTCCAGGGTATGACAATCAACTCATTTGTATTAATACAAATAAGTTTATAACATGTAGACTTGTGACAAATAATACATAAACTTGGATTTATATAATTTGGTTTGCATGCAGGCACGAGCTAGTGGGAGAAGTGACACAAGTGGGAAGCAAGGTGAAGAAAACAAAAGTGGGAGATAGAGTGGGCGTGGGGGGTGTGGTTGGTGCATGCCATGACTGCGATAACTGTAACAACGACCTTGAAATTTACTGCCCCAAAATGGTACTTACCTATAGCTCCATTTACCATGATGGAACAGTAACTTATGGCGGCTATTCAGACACAATGGTGGCCAATGAGCGCTACATAGTTCATTTTCCTGATAGCATGCCACTTGATGGTGGTGCTCCTCTTCTTTGTGCTGGGATCACAATGTATAGTCCCTTGAAATATTTTGGCTTAGCCGAGCCTGGGAAGCATATTGGCATTGTGGGCCTTGGTGGGCTTGGTCATGTTGGAGTGAAATTTGCCAAGGCATTTGGGGCAAAAGTCACTGTGATTAGTACCTCCCCTAGCAAGAAAGAGGAAGCTTTGAAACAATTTGGTGCTGATTCATTCTTGGTTAGCCGCGACCAGGACCAAATGCAGGTTTGTAGCCACTTGAGTTATGTCGTATGACGATATTAAATAATCACATGATGTGACAGTTAATGTATATATAATTACCATTACTTGTTTCTTAGTTTGTTATCATTGTTGTTCTAATTATTTGGTACACATTGAATTTTGATTATAGGCTGCCATGGGCACGTTTGATGGCATCATTGACACAGTCTCTGCTGTGCATGCAATTTCACCCTTGATTGACCTTTTGAAGTCTCATGGGAAGCTTATTATGGTGGGTGCACCGGATAAGCCACTTGAGTTACCCGTCTACCCTTTACTCATGGGTACGTTTGCCATTTTATGCATTGTATTTCATGGAAAAATTTATAATAATCTTATAAAATTTTGCTTAGAGCCTAACATATTTAAATATGTGAATATGTAGGAAGGAAATTGGTGGCCGGTAGTGCAGTTGGGGGTATGAAGGAGACACAAGAGATGATTGATTTTGCAGCAAAACACAACATAACGGCAGAGATTGAAGTTATTTCAATGGATTACGTGAACACAGCAATGAAACGTCTTGCTAAAAACGATGTTAGATACCGATTTGTCATTGACGTTGGAAACACTCTAGCTGCTACCAAGCCATGAAGACTTGTACTTCAATTTCAAGTCTCAATGTTTCATTGATATTGTATGTTGTTGGAAGTATATTTAATAGAATTATAAAACAAATAAAACTAGGTTTTAATACATGTACATTTTATTTGTGACATTCTGGTCAATGCCTCCCACAAGCAAGAAGCGAAATGTAAAAGTGGTGTTTACACCTTTAAATATACATCTTGCATTATGGATGTGATTAGTCAATAGGACTCAAAACTTTTGGCAAAAGTGTGAATATATATATTATTTTTTCGGTTACAAAAATGATAGTTAGTGGGCTATCATTACGAGTCAGGGCACTGTTTAAGGAAAGCTTTATCCAGAGGGTTCTTTACAAGACTCGAATGTTTGAGCTCTCGAGTGCTCAAGAAATTATACAATGGTACCGTACCACGTCAGCAGCTGGTGATAATCCCACTCAAAATATGTCATGTGTCTCAATTTTTTTAACAACTCAAACTTTATTTTACAGCTGGAATTCAACCTAATTTTTACCCTTTAAAATAAAATTAATAAAATAAGAAAATCGAAAGGAAAAAAATAAAAAGTAGAGCCACCGCCCAACCCAATACACCTACCACGCACGGCCTGCTCTCTCTCTCTCTCTCTCTCCCTCTCTCTCTCTGTTGTCCTGGGCCGTCAATCATGCTTTATCATGTCACCATCCAAATACTTATTAGATCCAATACAATACCTAATCTTCTTTATAATATATTGACAACGATGATGAAGTTTCCTGGTTGCTACAATTTATTGGGCTATGGGGATTGGCTTATTTGCAAGCAGAGGAAGAGGAAGATCTGGATGGCGAGGGGGTAGGGGTTGGGTTGCTGAGATATTCTCTTTTCTTTTTTTCCTTTAAGTTTTTTATATTTTGCTAATTTTATTTCAGTGGATAAAAATAAGTCTAGCTGTAAAATAAAGTTTGAGTTGTTAAAAAATACAGACACATGGTAATGAAACGTCTTGCTAAAAACGATGTTAGATACCGATTTGTCATTGACGTTGGAAACACTCTAGCTGCTACCAAGCCATGAAGACTTGTATACTTCAATTTCAAGTCTCAATGTTTCATTGATATTGTATGTTGTTGGAAGTATATTTAATAGAATTAAAAAACAAATAAAACTATGTTTTAATACATGTACATTTTATTTGTGACATTCTGGTCAATGCCTCCCACACGCAAGAAGCGCAAATGGAAATGTAAAAGTGGTTTTTACACCTTTAAATATACATCTTGCATTATGGATGTGATTTTGGCCAAGTCAATAGGACTCAAAACTTTTGGCAACAGGAAAAAAAATAAAAAGAGAGAGGACTCGAAACAACTCGAAAGAACACGTGTAAATATATATATATATTATTTTTTCGGTTACTAAAATGATAGTTAGTGGATTATCATTCCGAGTCGGAGCACTGTTTAAGAAAAGCTTTCTTCGGAAGGTTCTTTACAGGACTCGAACCCTTGAGCCCCCTACGGATAGTGCTCAAAGGCATTACCGAACTCGTGGACCTAGTTAGCTCTCATCAACTACACTTGGGTAACACGTGGAAATATTTTGTTAATCACTTCACCCAACTAAAGTGGAAACACTCTTGACCAAAGAAAAAAAAAGATTATGCCTGCGGGCCCTACCACCCCACTTTCAGTCTATTTATATCCGAACTTCGAGGTTTTCATGATCACTCAACATACTTTGTCTTGAGAGACTCGACACACTTGGGCTTCTCTCAGTGCGTCAAAAATGGCGAAGTCCCCCGAAGAAGAGCATCCTGTGAAGGCCTTTGGCTGGGCTGCCAGGGACACATCTGGGCATCTCTCTCCCTTTAACTTCTCCAGAAGGTAAATATTCATCTAATTTATTTTCAGATTTTTAATTTATATAGTTTTTCCCCAATTTGTGTTTCCACATTAATTAGTTCCATAATTTCTGTCGATATATACACAGAGCAACAGGTGATGAGGATGTGAGGTTTAAGGTGTTGTATTGTGGGATTTGCCACTCCGACCTTCACAGCATCAAGAATGAATGGGGCTTCTCTGTGTACCCTATGGTTCCGGGGTACGTATAACCATCAAACTACTTTTTATTATCCTCCTTTTGTATTTTCTTCTCTGTTAATAAACATGTAAAAAGTAATTCATTCTTGTATATATATATAAATTAAAGTTACATATGTGTGCAAAACCTTTTCTTTTTGTAATTTTAATAAACTATTTATACATATTATATCAAACTATTTATTTTCATCTTTTACATTTGCTATCATATTTTGTAAAAAGTACATGTGAGAAAGTGGTGATGATATTTTATCATAAAAAGCAAGAAGGATTCAGTATACCTATTCATTTTGAAGTAGGTCATTAACTTGTTGGAGAAAGTGTGTATATTTTACCCATCTATTTGTCTATTTCCTTTGAGCATATGATTGCTGATTTGACAAGGTTTGACTACCTTTCGCCTCATCCCTGGAGATGCTGAACACGAATACACACATCTCAACCAGTAGCAATATTTGGCTTAGTGGAAACGACAAGATTGAGAGTGTGAACTTCAACTATTATTTTTTTGACACCTTTGTCTTGGTAATAGTGTGATGTCATGCTTATTTTTGGAATTATACATATATTGATGTCGTTTAGGTACAGCCTTTTGCTGAGTTTTTAAACATTTTAGGATTGTTACTTTTTCTAAGATAGCATTTGGATACTTTTGTAGAGAGATATCATATATGTAGTACATGAAGAAAAAAAATCATACAGTCTCCGGGAATCTATGGACAAATATTATAACTTGACGACGTTAATCTCCCACCATAATTACTCTTTATTTTGCAGTGAGATCCATTTGTAGTCTCGTTTTTTCAATACAGTACGAGTATTACCATACCCCATTGGAATTTAAATTGGCTAATTTGCAGGCACGAGATTGTTGGGGAAGTGACAGAAGTGGGAAGCAAAGTGAAGAAAGTGAAAGTGGGAGATAAAGTTGGTGTGGGTTGCATGGTTGGTGCTTGCCATGCCTGCGACAACTGCAACAATGACCTTGAAAACTACTGCCCCAAAATGGTACTTACCTACGGTTCCGTTTACACCGATGGAACACTCACATATGGAGGCTACTCAGATTCGATGGTCGCCAACGAGCGCTACATCGTGCGTTTCCCTGAGAATATGCCACTGGATGCTGGTGCTCCTCTACTTTGTGCTGGGATCACAGTTTATAGTCCCTTGAAATATTTTGGCTTGGCAGAGCCAGGTAAGCATGTTGGCATTGTAGGGCTTGGTGGGCTTGGGCATGTGGGTGTCAAATTTGCAAAGGCACTTGGGGCAAAAGTGACTGTGATTAGTACTTCCCCTAGCAAGAAAGATGAAGCTTTGAATCAACTTGGTGCTCATTCATTCTTGGTTAGCAGCGACCAGGACCAAATGCAGGTTAAATTTTCTAGCCAGTTTATGATATGTTTCCCTTTGTTGTTCTTCCTGCTTTTAAGTTTGAGAGATCGGATTAATTTTCATTAATGTATTTAATCAGAGGAATTAGGAATATAGTATATGCATAAATTTATATGCCTAATCCTATATATTGGGGTTTTCAATTGCAGGCTGCCATGGGCACATTGGATGGCATCATTGACACAGTCTCTGCTGTGCATCCCATTGTGCCATTGATTGGTCTTTTGAAGTCTCATGGGAAGCTTATTCTACTAGGTGCACCAGAAAAGCCACTTGAGCTCGCTGTGTTTCCTTTAATCGTGGGTAAGCATATATGTATGTATGTATCTTGTCAATTATTTTGATCTAGACACTCTAGAACCTAAAATCAAAATGTGAATACAGGAAGGAAGGTGCTGGCGGGTAGTGGAATTGGAGGCATGAAGGAGACACAGGAGATGATTGATTTCGCCGCAAAACACAACATAACGGCAGATATTGAGGTAATTTCAATGGAGTATGTGAATACAGCAATGGAGCGTCTTGCTAAGAACGATGTTAGATACCGATTTGTAATCGATGTTGGGAACACCTTGGCTGCTACCAAGTCTTGAAGATTAGGCAGGAGAAGAATGAAAATTCATCATCCGAGTGCTTGGAGTTATGCATTTCAGGGTTTGTTTTGTCGGTGTTTAATTTGATATCTCAAATAAGAACTCAAGTGCCAAAAACATTACTTGAATGTAAAACAGTCACGTTGGCTGGGGATAACATCATAATTAAGTTCATAACCCAACGACCTTCACTTAGCGTAAAAATCCTCCACCAAAAGGTTATTTTTAACCACACCAACCACTTAAAAAAAATACCAAATAACTGTACGACTTACGCACTCAAAAACTACTTCTTTTTTGGTTGGTCAGACACCCATAACTATTATTTAAGAAAGTATTATTGCAACTTATATTGTTCAATATAATATCTTTTTCAATATATAGTAGTATATTTAGTAACATTGCGCGATATGTTGAATTTTTTTTTTTTTTTTTTTTTTTTTTTTTTTTTTTTTTTATTAATCGGAATGGTATAGTCAAAAATAAATATGAATAGACACTTTGTCATTTTGGCTCTTGTAGAGAATAATGAAGTACCTACCTTCATTGAACCCCGGACCAACAGGACGTGGTACCACAAGGGCCGGTAGAATGTCGCTATTTTTATTTTATTTTATGAGTGATATTGGGAGAGAGGGTTTGAACACTGGACATGAGCTATAAGGGTAAAATGTTGTTATCCAAAATAATATGGACTTGTTTGGGAGTGCTTCTGGAAAGGCTTTATGACAACCGAAAACGTTTCTGACAATGTTTGAAAAAAAAAAAAGTGCTCATAGGTCATATAAGCACTTTGTGGAGAAGCACGTACCACGTGCCGAAAAAACTACCAATGTGCTTTTTGGATGTCTATATATAATAAAATTTTTTTTTTTTATAATTTTTTTTTTTTTTTTTTTTTTTTTTTTTTATTTTTTTTTTTTTTTTTAATG